TGAGGCATTTTGAGGTACAAGCATTTAAATTAAACAGTCTGTTCTCTTCATGGAAGAAGTTTTGGGAGGTGTTCTTACAGATGGGGATAGTTCACATTCAATGGGAGAGGACTAGGTATATGTACTTAAGGATATAAAAAAGCAATACAAAATAGAGAGGTATTGGCCCTGACACATGGGGGAGGAAGAGATCGAACGTCAAGAAAGTCTTCTTCAAGGTGCCAAGATGGCTTGGTGTGTTAATGATAATACATACACAGCATCATTTGCACTCTGCCCCAGAGAGGTCCAAAAGTAGAAAGCTATGAGCCTTAACGCCAATCCTGAGTTGTCTGATGGAGGAAAGTCAAGTACATAGGATAGGATAATCTTTGTCTTAATAAGCATTTTTGGGTAGTCTGTAATCCAATATCCAAAACATATTTTCTTTAAAATAAAGGACAAAATAGGGGAGTAGGATTCCTCTCCAGGACTCATCTCCACAGGACTTCCTCTCCCATGTCATAGAAACCTTTTCACCCTGGAAGCTCATTCTGTTCCTGGTAGAAGCGGCCAGCCCTCCAGCTCCTCCTAATTGTCTGGTTCCTCTCTGAACCTCCATTTTAAGGAGGAGGCCCCGACCAACCAGGTCTTCATTTGTCTCCAGGCTGCACTCCTGACTCATCTCCACAGGACATTCTCTTCCGTGCCCTTCCTCCCACAGGTAGCTTCCCCTCCTTCCTCCCCTTTTCATCTACCTTTTATGTGTAGTCTTCCTCCATTAGAAAGTAAGCTATGGGGGGGGGGGGCGGAGCCAAGACGATGCAGTGAAAGCAGTGACTTGCTTGAGCTCTCCCCCAAACCCCTCCAAATACCTGTAAAAAATGGCTCCAAACAAATTCTAGAGCAGCAGAACCCACAAAAAAAAAAAAAAAAAAAAAACAGAAAAAAACAAATTTCCAGCCCAAGACAGCCTGGGTGGTTGATCAGAAAGGTCTATCGCGCCAGGCAGGGAGGGGAGCGCAGTTCGGAGTGGGCGCGGAGGGCGCAGCGACCCCGGAGCAGGCCTCAGAGGACTGAATCGCGGGCAGCTGGGGCGGATTCCAGACTTCTCGCCTCTGGGATTCGGGGAGCGGGGGGTGGGGTGGGGGAGGGGGACTCTAGGCACGCTCGTCCATTCAATCCCATCGAAACTCCAACTCACCTGGAAGGCAGCTACAGGGACGACGGGGATCATCCCCTTCCCTCTCGGAACACCGCAGGGATCTCTGCAGGTGACTGGGAAGGAGAGCGCTCAGGCTTGGGCCCGGGGCTCAGGGCAGGAGCCCCAGGTCGGAGGGGCTCGGGGTGGGGCCGGAAAGCACCTGCCCGGCCCCATCGAGTTACAAAGGAGGGGAGTCGGGCTCAGAGCAGCGGACACCCCGGGCCGGAGCGGCGGCGCCCCCCGCCTCGTCCCTCCCCGCCCCCGGCGGCCGCCGCGGCACAGATGGACGAGGAGAAGGGGCCGGGCTGGAGCCCCGGGGAAGGGGAGGGGAGGCGACGCTGGGGGGGGGGGGAGGGACCCGGAAGCCCTCACTAGGACGGAAGCGGAAGTCTGCGTGGTCAGCACCGCCTGTTCCGGTCGCTCTCCGAGGTGGCTGCCGGAGCTCCTGCAGCTGCCTATCGGTCTCCGGCTGGGACTTCCGGGAAATGTAGTTCTGCGCCTCGGGCAGCCGTGTGCACCTGCTCCGAGGGCCGCGCCTGCTCCGAGGGCCGCGCCTGCTCCGAGGGCCGCGCCTGCTCCGAGGGCCGCGCCTGCTCCGAGGGCCGCGCCTGCTCCGAGGGCCGCGCCTGCTCCGAGGGAGGCGCCTGCTCCGAGGGAGGCGCCTGCTCCCCTTCCCCGCCCAGGTAATCAAAACCCATCAACAGACGCTGTGTTCGACAGCATGGCCATAGTGTGTACACACAAGTCCACAGCTGTGGTCCCCCACCTCTCCACCGGTTGTGATGTTTCATTAGCTCATTAAAATTCCTGTCTTCAACTGCCTTTTAGTATTAATTTTTGACACTTTCAGGGCCACAGTGTAGATAAATATGCCTTTTTTTTTTTTTTTTTTTTTGGCTTCTTGGTGAGGCAATCGGGATTAAGTGACTTGCCCAGGGTCACACAGCTAGGAAGTGTCAAGTGTCTGAGGCCGGATTTGAACTCATGTCCTCCTGACTCCAAGGCCGAAGCTCTATCCACGACACCACCGAGCTGCCCCGTATGCGTTCTTAATATATAATAATTGGGTTTTCAATCAAGAAGGCTAAGCAGTTAAAAAAAATATCCAGGGAGTGGACCCCTTCCAAAACTCCTTGCACCATCGAATCTCCTCCTCAACTCACCAACAATACTGAGGGAACGTTCAGGAAAAGAGATACAAAGAAGCAAGGTTAAAACACTTGGAGAAAAGGAAAGAGCTATAAGGTTAGATGGAGCTTTGAAGCCCACACGACCCTGCATTTGGTGCATTTTTCCCCTCAGCACCTCCACCCACACTTCCCTGTCTTCCTACTTGATCAGGTTGGGGGAAAAGGGCTGTGGGGTTCTTTTCCCTCTTTATCCTGCCATATTGTCCTGAGCTCTTCAGGTTCAGAGGTACTATTGCCCAGTACACAAGCCCAGCCAAAGGAGCTCCAGGAATATGGGTTTCCAGATGGCAACCATATTGAGCAGAGGCCCAGGTCCTCCCCACTTCCAAACTAGGGCCACTAGAGCCCCAAACCTGCAAGAGCTGCCTGCCCTCCCAGAGCAGCAAATTCTGAGCAAACAGAAGAGTGGAAGTTGGCTTCAGCTTCTAACCAACTAAGGCTCAGGACATTCCTAGTACCCCTTGAACCACCTCAGCTAAGGGTTAAGAAATAGAATATGAGCAGTAAAACAAATCAGATAAATAAAACCCAGGATCAATCAAGCACAGTAGCACAGGGTTTAATAAAATCAAGATGCCAAACTGATGGCAAATCTAGGAAAGCTGTCTGGCAGAAGTTAAATTTTAATTTTAATTTAAGTTAAACTAAGTGAGAGGTGATCAAAAATTTAATTTGGGGGAGCAAAAAGAATGCCCTAAAGAGCAAAATTGACCAAATGGAAAAGGAAGTCCAAAAGCTTACTGAAGAAAATACTTCCTTAAAAATTAGAATAGAGCAATTGGAAGCTAGTGACTTTATGAGAAATCAAGACACTGTAAAACAAATCCGAAAGAATGAAAAATTAGAAAACAATGTGAAATATCTCATTGGAAAAACAACTGACCTGGAAAATAGATCCAGGAGAGAGAATTTAAAAACTATTGGACTGTCTGAAAGCCGTGATCAAAAAAAAGGGCCTAGACATCATCTTTCAAGAAATTATCCAGGAAAACTGCCCTGATATTTTAGAACCAGAGGGCAAAATAGAATTGAAAGAATCCACCGATCTCCTCCTGAAAGAGATCCCCAAATGAAAACTCCTAGGAATGTTGTAGCCAAATTCCAGAGTTCCCAGGTCAAGGAGAAAATATTGCAAGCAGCCAGAAAGAAACAATTGAAGTATTGTGGAAACACAATCAGGACAACACAAGATTTAGCAGCTTCTACATTAAGGGACCAGAGGGTTTGGAATATAATATTCTGGAGGTCAAAGGAGGATTACAACCAAGAATCACTTACCCAGCAAAACTGAGTATAATCCTGCAGGGGAAAAAATGGTCATTCAGGAAAATAGAGGACTTTCAAGCATTCGTGATGAAAAGACCAGAGCTGAATAGAAAATTTGACTTTCAAATACAAGACTCAAGTGAAACATGAAGAGGTAAACAGGAAAGAGAAAATCATAAGAGACTTATTAAGGTTGAACTGTTTACATTCCTGAATGGAAAGACAACATTTGTAACTCATGAGACCTTTGTCAGTATTAGGGTAGTTGGAGGGGAAAAAATTATATGTATGTATATATAGATATAGATAGATAGATAGAGGGCACAGGGTGAGTTGAAAACAAAGGGGTCATATCTGGAGAATAAAATTAAAGGGTGAGAGAGGAATATACTAGGAGAAGGAGAAAGGGAGAGGTAGAACAGGGTAAATTATCTCACAGAAAAAAAAAACAGAAAAGAAAAGGCTCTTACAGTGGAGGGGAAATGGGGGAAGGTGAGAGGGAATGAGTGAATCTTATTCTCATAGGATTTGACTTAAGGAGCGAATAACATACACACTCAATTGGGTATGGAAATCTGTTTTACCCTACAGGAAAATAGGGGGGGAAGGGGACAAGAGAGTAGGGGGATGATAGAGAGGAGGGCAGATTGGGAAAGGGGGCAATCAGAAGCAAATACTTCTGAGGAGGGACAGGGTCAAAAGAAAGAATAGAATAAATGGGGGGGACGGGATAGGAATAAGGGAAATAGAGTTAGTTTTTCACAGTACGTGTACTATGGAAGTGTTTTGCATAACTGCACATATATAACCTATATTTAGTTGCTTGCCTTATCAATGAGGGTGGGTGGGGAGGGAGGAAGGGAGAGAATTTGGAACCCAAAGTTTTAAAAACACATGTTTAAAAAAATGTTTTCACATGCAACTGGGAAATAAGAAATACAGGAAATGGGGTACAGAAATCCATCCTGCCCTACAGGAAAATTGAAGGGGAAGGGGATAAGAGAAGAGGGGGAGAGAGATAGAAGGGAGGGCAGATTAGGAGAAGGGGTATATGCATGCCATCTTGGGGTGGGGGGAGGGGCGAGATGGGGTGAAAATTTGGAACTCAAAATCTTGTGGAAGTAAATGTTGAAAACAAAAAAATAAATTAAAATTACCATTAAAAAAAGGGCAGATCTGAAAAGCTCTTCAGTTTATCTGATTGTCTTAATTGCGGTCCTGCTGCAGCAGATGTTAGCTGCATCACTGACTACGGAATTTTGACACTGCTTTGTATCTTGCCTTCCTCCATGCTGCTGAGGACTCCTGAAAAATCATCAGAATCCCATGTCTTTATTATACCTATCCTGGATCTTACTTGGGACGTATACTCACGTCTGAGTGGTCTGAAGGAGTGGTTAATCACTGAATGTATGAA